CATCCTAACAGGGGTGGACTAGGGGAAGCTTGGGTAAAGTGGATATGTTAAGGTTTGAATAAAAATCCTTAGTTGAAATAGAAATCAGATATATTGTTTATTATAATAATCTAAAAATGTATTCAAATTTTACTTCAAATATAAAAAAAATCATTTAACCTCTTTGGAACGAAAAACTAAAACGAGAGAAACTATTCGTTGTCTTCTTCTCGTTAACCTAGTTCTCGATGGGAGTGGACGTCAAGAATACCGTTTTTGCCTCTTATTTTTGCGAATTTCACTAGTTCGGACTTCCATTGTCTAATATATAAAATGATTTGAAATCCCTGAGACACCTGAAAGAGAAGAATTAAACAATGAATAGCTGAAAATAAAAATTATATTAAGCAAAATAAACCTGAAATGAAATAACAATGAAATAAAATACAAGTAAAAATAGAACAATTGAACAAAAATTAATATAAAGAAATGAAAATAATTAAAAAAATGTTGAGATTCCAAGTCACGTTAGTTCACGACGTTTCGATTGTTGGTATCTACAATCGTCTTCGGGTGATGACTGATTCCTCCGAGAGATGACTATTTATGGGTCGTTCGAGTACTTTCACTAATCCCCGCTTTCCATTTTCCGCTTCACTGGTTTAGTGGGAGATGACCGTTTGGCGGGAGTTGGCCATTTTTCGCTTAATGATGGGTTTCCATACGTTGCGTATCTCTACGCTAGCTTGGCTAAATACGTTGTTGGACAACATGTATGCGGATTTCTTGAATTTTCTCCTAAACCAATGTTCCTCTCTGTGTATGATCTCAGCTTGGGACCACTCGATGTTATGTTGATGGGTCCAAACATGATCTGCTATTCCTAATTTGCTGGTTTCCCTTCGCTGTGTGTGTTTCTTGTGCTCGGCAATGCGAACATTCAATGGTCTCTTAGTTTCACCAATATAGGATTTTCCGCACTCACAGAGTATCCGGTAAATGCAATTCTTGGAATCGCAGTCCGCGTTTGGTGGCCTGGTTTTCGTGAGGCTGCTACGGATAGTATTACCGGATCTGAAGCAGGTTCTAATGTTGTACTTGGAACCAATTCTTCTTATTCTCTCCGATAATCCTCTGATGTAGGGAAGTGCAAGCACTGGTTGTGAGGATTCTCTTCCTTGCGAGGCTCCTGCTGTCTTTTAGCCAAAGTCTTTTCTACCATCGCTTTGGAGTAGCCATTCCGTTGAAGATCATTTTTGATGATGTCTAGTTTCTTCTCGAGACCTTCCTTCGTATTACAGAGCCCGAAAGCACGGTCTAATGGAGTCTTGATGATTCCTCTTTTAGTCGATTGATGGTGGTTGGATTCGTGGTTCAGATACTGTCCCGTGTGAGTGGGTTTCCGGTATACAGATGTTTCCCACTCAGTGTAGGTCCTCTTCACCAAAACGTGACCTGGGCGACCTGTGCGACCTGTTTCAGGGGCAGCCATAGTGGGTATTGGTCTTACTTGGAATCAGGAAACGCTAAAAGCTCTTGCGTTTCCTTCTCGTCTCATTGCAAGAATTTCAGTCTCTCGAATTGTAGTGTTGCTGCAAAGCGCTCAGATGTCGCCATCAACTGGTGGAACATTGAGTAGAGGTGGAGAGACATTAACATGCACTGACAAATTTTCCTCTAGTAGACGATCTGATGATGGAGCATAATCTTCATCGTTGAAAACATGAAGATTATAGACCCAAATTCCTGGCTTTTTAAATTTTGTTCAGAAGCACTTTCGTTTCAAGCCCCTCCAAAAAGTTTGTCAATTCCATATTCATTCATCATTCTCCCTGGGGTGGCTTCTCTGGAAAATTCTAATCTCTTGTTCAAAGTACTTCTTTATGGGTCCATAAACTGCAACATCTAATGGTTGCTTGTGGTTTTCCGATGCTAATTCTAAGGCTGAATAAAGTTTATTAGATTCTTGGTTATCGAGCAATAACAGAACGTCCCGATTTTCATTTGGTCGAACAGTTATAAATAAAGAATCGAAGTCATGTTTTGAAAACTGGCCCATTCACCCACCCACTGTCATTCATAGTTGTCTGAGAACCAGCAAGGACATTGTCTAATAGCCGATCTTGCATTCGCTTCCGTGTTCCAGCAGCATTACAACAAAATATGACAGTTGTCAGCTGACCTTTCTCAGCACTGCCAAAAATCTTTGATGGTTTTGAAGACGAAGTTTTTATATCAGTTTCGTCCATGTTGAAAATAGCTGTTGCATCAAAATTAAACTTCTCAATCTGCCTCCATAATACTGAATGAAATAATTTTATCTGTGGTATATTGAAACCACTCACTCTGGGAATGGAAGTGGGTTCAGGTGACCTTAGTACAATATCAGAATGTCTCCGCTTGAACTCAATAAACCAATCTTCGTCTTCTTTTCCATTGTGGGCGGACTATGTTATGTTTTGCAAAGGCATAAACTAGCTGTAAAAAATCCGAGCGAGTTGAGTCGAAGAATAAACTATCCAACTCTATCAGGTAGTTGCATAACTGATCTTCTTGATCTTTGATAAAAATCCAGATCCAGAATCCAGATTTCATATGACATTGTAAAGTTGTGTACCGAATATAATACCTTTTTACTGCCGATGTGATAGACTGATTGGCAGCAGCCATGGACCGTTTTATATCAATATCTGTCCATTTTGCCTGTCTTGTTTTTATTTTGTGCTGAAACACCCTCCTGAAACAAACAAGAATGACAATTGAAATATGGGGGATAGAGGATGCCCCATTCGCTTTGCCCAAATTAATATTTTGGCATAAAGTTGCAACTAGTACCATCTGGTATTATATAGCACAGGATACTTTCATATGCTACATGAGATAAGTATGATCGTTTCAAGGAATACTTTGTTATCTGATAAAACATTAAAATAAGAGAATTCTCACACAAAAACACTAACAGCGATTAGACAACATTACTACTAATAATCAACTGACGTTCCTTGGCTGAATTTGTAAAAAAACACTCGATTTTTTATTTTCCTTCATAAAAATTGGATGCGATTGTTGACATGTTTTTTAGAATTGTTATAGCGTCAACGGCCGGTCGCTCTCGCAAGTTGCTAGAAACTTATAGCGCCATCTAGTGAAATTTTGAGGTGAATAAACCTATCCACTTTACCCATGGCGTTCGCTTTGCCCGGGCTTCCCCTACACAGTGCCTTTCAGTTGAAACAAGCCATCCTGAATAAGACATTCGAAATCGAAACTAAAAAATTTGTCAACTTTGAATTTCAAGAGGGCACATTTCTATCTCTTGCTAGCCACTCCCATCACAAAATATTTCAAACGGATGTGATAGTCGAGTGACACCTTATTTTGAAAGTTCTTCCAATTCTGTATGCAACCCTATAAGATAAGCAATATCAGAAAAAATCAAATATTTTTTTTTAGTTTGTATTCAGCTTCGAACTAGGAAGTTAAACTGAGCACTATCAACTCACATAATATAACCGAGCTTCTTCGTGCTCCTTTACACTCTGAAAAACACTAGGTGTAAATAGCCTACATTAACTGGTTATGTCTCCCCTTGAACTATTTTCAGTAGTTCGATGCATCTCGTAGACTTTTGATTTCATTCACCAAAAAAACAGAAGTCCAGTGGATTCAAATCGGCTATCTGAGGGGCCATTCTGTAGAACCTCTCCTTCCAATCTATCGACCCGGAAAGTTATCATGATGAGACTGTCGTCCTGATACTATGCAATGGGAAAGAACACCATTTTGTTGTAAAATCATTCTATTTTGTAATAGAGGATCTAACTGGATGGTGTTGTTAATTCTTGACATCTATCAAACAAACTGAAATATCCTCCACCATATATGTCCGCTTCTGAAAATAATGTTTCTGTAATATGATATTCCAAAATTTCTGCTCAAATATTCAGTTTCGAAAGATATTGGATGTGAACTTGCACTTGCAACCTTGCACTTGCAACCCTGATAGTCTGGAACATCGAAGAAAGGTTAGAGATATGTCTATCTTCTATAATTATTTTTATGCGAAGTGGCACATTTGATTTCACCAAGAGCGGTACATATCAGAAATACGCGACAGACAGTGGCTGCTCATTGTTTTGAGGTTCAACTCAGTACACCTTCAACTTCACTGTTCAAGAACTGTTTCATTTGGAGAACTGCGTTCATGAGTGCTTATGTTCTGTCCTCACGGTTTTCAATTTTCCCATGCTAACCCTCCCTTTCTTGAACACCTACAACATTTGTTTTAACACCAATCCTATCCTTTGCCGAGTTATGACTCTTCAAAATATGTATAGCAGTTTGCAATTCCAAATTTTTCCCCTAAACCCTTCCATTCAATATCGATATCACACGGTGCATAAGAAACGTGGTCTACCATCTTTGGTAGTCTACCATATTGAATTTAGAGTGGCTTCTTTTCATTTTCTGTGTTTTTTTTTCAGCAAACCTTTCAATTTGATACCAATATTATGGAGTCCATAAAAAAACTTGTCTATCATCTTGGGCGTTCCATCATATTGGATTTCAAGTGACGTAATGTTATTTTTCTTATTTTTTCCATCAAATTCTTTCATTTTATATCCATTTATTCATGTCACTCAGCTAACGTTAACCATGCATTGTCATCCAAACTAAACGTGTATGCAAAATTTCAGCTCGATTGGTTGATGATGACTGTTTCAAAATTCAGTTGCAAGATTTGAACCGAACTATCATACATACGTGCATGCATCATACAAACATTGCGAGTTCAAAGAAAGCTTGTAATAAAGTTGTTTATTTAATAAATAATGACATTTTCAGAAAAATCACTGACGTACTTGAATTTCACATCTCTATGACTGGTTATTGTTATTCATAAATTCTGATATATTCTAGTTGAAACATTCAATTCAGTTATTCGATTTGATTCGACTGAACAATTCTGACTCTGCGTGCACATTTCAATTTGAAGAGATCGCAAGAAAAGGAAACAGAAATTTCAGAGATACTTTTTATTACAAAATAGGTGCTACAGCAAATAATTAAACTTTGAAATTTTGGCGAAAACAATTAAAACTGAGGCATCAGGGCCAGGCCTTTTGGATAGTTACCTGCACAGTTCTGTGATTTATATTCCAATTCCCCTAAGAAACAATAATCAAACTGCAATATCTGGTACTATTTATCTGATGCACTGTTGCTAAAATATTCTAGAAGACATATTCAGAAATGAAATCTTCTGTGTTGTATTCCATAATTATTAATATATCAATTATAAATGAATCCAAACAAGTACTGCCGTCATCAATGTCAATACTGATGATGTATGAATTCCAGAACTATTAGGTTTCTGGGTAGTGGACGATGGAGTTTTAGTTGTAGCCGATGAAGCATTTTTAGTTGTAGCCGATGAAGCATTTTTAGTTGTAGCTGATGGAGTAGTTTCATTTGTAGTCGATGAATCAGTTTCAGTTGTAGTCGATGAATCAGTTTTAGTTGTAGTCGATGAAACAGTTTCAGTCGTAGCCAGTGAAGTAGTTTCATTTGTAGCCGATGAATCAGGTTCAGTTATACCCGATATTTTATTTGAGCCTGCCAACCCACCCATTAAATAATTTCTGGGCGCTGAACACTCCTTTACATTCAGGTGCTCACTGAGATATTTGCATATATCTTCACCAACTTCTACTTCAACGCATTGCTTCATTTCAGTCACATCATTATCTGAAATAAGAGTAAATAAATTCACAAAAATGATAAATATTTCGAAAGACTAACTTGGATGAGTTCATTCTCGGTAATAGTATAGTATATTTGTCAAAATATAAAGATATGTGTGAATATGTTTGAGAACCGCGTTTTTTTCTAAGTTAATACAATGATATATGTACATAATCACAAAGAAACATAGTTTAGATAGATAAAAGTTCATGATGACAAACAACATTAGTGAAAACGAAACAAAACAAGCATTGAAACGACATAATCAAAGTAAACTGCCAAAACATATAGTATGAGTAGGCGGTACTCCATCCTTGGATATTGTCTCTGGTATTCACACTGACTTATGACATATCAATCACGAGTCTCTTTGACAAAACAGGACCTCAGGATTCGAAAAATTGAAGTGATGGTCATTTTCTCCATGTATTCAACAAAAGGTGTGCGATTGGATTTTTTTTACTGTCTCATTCATGTTCTTATACTTATATCTTGAATATCACCCAGTTTGACCCATGAGATATTTTGAACAAATACGTCGGTCAAATTGAACTATATTCAAAAAATAAGATATCATAACATAAAGGGGATTGACGTTGTTATTGACTAAAGACTGTTAGTATATATCATTGATGTATATTAAGTGATAACTTTCATTATTTTTTTTCTAATCCTTTCCCTTTTTTTTTCTCTTTTCTCTTAACCACGATACATAGCAATGCTTTATATAGCTGACCTTTATTTGTTTGTAACGTTGGTTACTGTAGTGAAGAAAATAATGTTTCCAATCCCATAGCTCTCGTTGAACATAATAGGAAAACTCATTTTTTTGAACCTGAGATCCTAGATGTTCAACATGTTCTTTCAGATTATTTCAAAAATAAAATAATATATATTGGAAGTGTCAATATCAGAAGCAATACCGATGGAGTGAAGGTGAAAAGCGTTTGCTTTATCGAAAAATGATTTTTTTAATATTTCAATAAAAGTTAATTACAAAAGTTCATACTATATATCTTCAGTGCTTGTTTCGTTTCTATTAATGGTGTATGCCATCACAAACGTTTATTTGAACTATGTGTGTTTGTAATATATACATATTTTAATGTTCTCAGTCTAAGATATGAGATATTTGTTTTATCCTGATAATGATAATGATATCCTGATAAGTCGATAAAGTTAGAAACATCAGCGAAGAACCAGCAGTTAATTATTCACGATTTTTCTGATCTTAATGATGCTTGATGCTTGATGCTCAATGATACATTACAGAAAAGTAATAAATATTTTCTTATTGATTACTTTTTGAATCTGTATGCTATTCACTCAGAAATCGCTATAATCGTATATTAATGAAACCAGAGCACAAAAACAGAGCATTCTTGATCCAGGCAGCGTTGTTTAGACCCGCTAAGAAATCATCAGTAATGCTATACTGAATCACGAATCACTGCAAAAGTAAAGACGATGATATCTCTCTTTACAAAGACACCAACTATCTATATGCTTCACAAGAGCAATTAGCGAATGTCAATCTTACACTGCCTGCACTGCAGCTTTCAATTCGAGGCAATTAAATGAAACCAGAGCTCAAAATTGGAGCATCCTTGATTCAACACCAGGCGGCCCTGTTCAATCCCGCCAAGGAATCATAAGTGATGAGACTCAACTGTTCATCTTTCACTGCCTGAACCACTGTGCATGCTGTTTGTGGCGAGTGCATTCATTGGCTTGGGATGTGGGGGATACGGAACAGAATCACTTCTGGTTCTGTTATTCCCTAACCGAATGGCATCCTGAAAATGGTTTGATCCTAAGGTGTGTATATCCGTGCCGAGAGGATGAATGACACAGCCTATCAGCTGTCTCTACGGAACCTTCGAGATACCGGGCGCCCTCTCGTCTTGCCTTGTCACGGTAATGGGCTCTGCCGTGATTGACCTTCTTTCCCTAGCTACTCGTGGGACTTTCATGGACAAAGTAAACTTAAACATTCTTTCTGACGCTGAATATATAGAGGAGGTGGATGTCGAGCTTACGACTCCAACTGACCTCCCTGTAAATTTAGTTCAGGAATGAGAGATCTCAACTCCCCAGCTCCTGATCCAATAACTGAACCTAAAAAAAAAGGTTAGGTGGTGCAGCCAGGAATCGACTGAGTCGTCTCCTCAAGAGCGGGGTACCTTATAAGCAAATCTCCTACTCTTATACAACCGCCTTGCACCAAATTCTTGAGCGGTGTAAAAAACCCTGCACTATTGAATCTAAGGCATTGTCAGGTGTAGCTGACCTACAAAAAAACCTCATATGGGAAGGTTATCGCAGGTATTAAGTTGGAAATCTTGCACCTTGACTATCCAACTACCTCATTAACGATGAAACAGCAGAGCATATACTTTGTGCCTGCATCGCTGGGGACCAAATCAGGTCCACTCACCAGGACCACTCACCATACAAACTAATCGGCTTCGTTAAAAAGCTGGGTTTACTTGGTCAAGTGTGAATAGGTGTGAGCCACAATAAACCTTTGCGGGTTGCGGTGAAGAGTCAAAGTGACCCACTCACTTTGGACCTAACCTTACCCAACCAACTGTTCTCAAAGAACAATTCTTTGACAGTAAAGGCGATGACAACTGCAATTACGGTTGTCAAAGATAAACGAAGATTCATTTTTGACATTCATGGATTAAGTTTTCTGTCGATCTCATAGATGGCGTATTCATAATGGAAGATGTCATCGTTTGTACTTGGCATATCGATGTTATGAATTTTACCTATGAGGTTAATGGAGTTATTTATGATCCATCAGAATGATTGCTACCCTACTAAAATATACTGAACGAGTATTTTACAATATCTGTAAACGCCAGGTCTCTGTAACAACAAGGACTACAGGAAACACAACTTCTGGTATCTCGACTACGACTGCGGTACATATTAACAGGGCGATGAGGCAACTGAAGCAGTATTCCAACATTTCCACAGCTCCCACTATATTATTCAGAAAACCACCAGAGCAATGCACCCAAGGCCTCGTCGCCTTTTGATAATATCTACCGCAATCGTAGACGACATGTCAGTCACAAAAACTATACCCCACAGCCATTTCCTTACGTCTTGTTCTTCAATGATTTCCAAAATATTGTCTATCTTCTCCCAAAAAATTTCTACTACTACAGATACACTCCATGAAGCTTTCAATTTGAAAATGATTATAATAATGGCATCAGGTGGGTTCCTGATGATTCGGCTCATTTTCATGAATCGCAAATTGAAATCACAAGTTGAAAACTATATTTTGAAAACATTAACAATTCAGAGGTAGCTGCCAGGCGACATATACCTATATTTCAAAAGATCGATAAGAAATTCAAGAAATAGTCAACAGACGGAGTATTATATAATGATGACTAGCTGATAGAGATATCTCACAAGAAAACAAACTTTCAACTTTTCTATCCAATCTGATTGATAGATAATTTCAGTACTCATCCTAGATTGTCGTCACTATAAACATCAATTGATTTTAAATCTTTATTTTTTGGTAGTCAAAACCTTTGGATGTTAAATATACTACTACAAAAAAATAATCGCCTGCCCGTGGAATGTTTCCCACATGCTCATTTCGGTTCTAGATACATTATGAAATAAATTATGTACTTGATAATTATCAGGTTGTTTCCAAGTTTTGTCTGTTTTCATGAGTCTATCTTGAACTGTAATATCTCAGTGAATACTCATTAAATTCATCCGAAATAAGCGGCATGTCACTCAGTGCACTTTTGCAAAACCTAACCTAACCTTACACTTGTACTACCGATGTGAATGTTATCAAAGTGTTTGAAAAGTTGGTAGTCGATTGGCGAAAGGTCTGGAAAGCACGGTGGGTGAAGCAGAGCTTCGACGCTCAATTCTATTAATTTTCGGACGGTGATTTGTGAAACGTGCAGACGGACGCTGTCGTGGAGCAGGATCGGACCTCTTCTGTTGAGCAGTGCTGACTGCTGCTGACAATGTTTTCGGTACATGTTGTCGATTTTCTCGCAATTGTACTCTGCTGTGATAGTATGGCCTGGCTGCAGGTGAATCACACCAGCCGCTGACCATCATACAGTAACCAAGGCCTTTTTTGGTGAGTTTTTGACTTTGGGAATTTTCTGGGTGGCTCATCGTTGTCCAATCTCTGTCTGTTGCAGAGGATCCACATTTCATCACACGTAACGATCCAATCCAAAAAAAGATCGTTTCTGTACTGTCGATTTTTAAAATAGTGGGGCACATACTTTCGAGCTGTTCGATCTTTCCAATACATCAAAAACCGCATGGGAGCTGACGCACAGATCTTCCGCCACCTCACGCATCGTTTGTGATGGGTCAGTCTCTAACAGAGTCCTCAAATCCTCGTCCTGGATTATTGTAGGTCGGCCACTTCGGAGCTCATCTTCGAGGCTAAAATCTTCAGAACGAAATTTCGCAAACCAACGGCGAACGCTTATTAACACCATCATTGCCACATGCCTGAACAATGTATAGAGTACAAAACTCTATCAATCAGTATATATGCTACGACACAGTAGAATAAATATTTATAGATATATAGATCCACAAAACACATATCAATACGGACAAAACTTTTGAAACACTCTGAAAATTGAAAAAAAAAACAACATTTGTAAAATTTCATTTTCAAACTCAAATGATAGTTCAATTGCTGAACTCAAACCATCTTCAACTAACCAGGTCCATATTTCAAATTCAAACATCTATACTCTTTATCAGCTGATGCAATTTTGTCCTTTTTGTATACTCCAGGCAAAGGTAAAGAATGTCGATTACATTCCATCTCTTCCACTTCTTGGTCACAATTCGAACCTCTACAAGTTGGGCATGTCAAAGATGAACCTGAAATTTCAAAAACATCTGTATCATTGAAATGTATACAACTAGTTTTCTTGGCTGTCTAATGGTATTTTTTTTATTTGAAAATAGGAAATCCTAATATAAGTAAATATTAATGAATAATTTTATTTTTCAAATAAATCTTTTGATTTGATATGTATGTCAAGCACCTTAATTCTAATTTTTCGATTTTTTGAAATATTTGAGTAATTGAATTTTTTAGGTGTACAATTTACGATAAAGTTTTCATTGTTGAAATCCATATTCTGGTTTGCTTTCAAATAATCAAATTAGATTTTGAAATGTATCTTCCGTTTCGTTCAAAACTTTTTTCTGTACTAAATCATGGGTAGTTGTAAATATTCAAATATTTCATCTGTAGCACAAAATTTCGCTAACACTTATAATTCTTAAAATATGTTTTTTATTTTGATTTTCTTTTGAAAAACCCATCAAGGAGGTTACGTATAGCGGCATCTGCCCGCAAATAGCTCAAGCAATAATTGATAGTTACGTACAGCGCCATCTGCCCGCAAACAGATCTAGCAATAATTGATAGTTACGTACAGCGCCATCTGCCCGCGAATAGATCAAGCAATAATGCCGATAATTCTGTCAATACAGATCCCGAGCTTGAGAGTTACAAACAAACATACATACAGCTGAAGCTAATATAAAGCGTGTAAAAATTAAAAGAAAATTCATAGATACGTGATGTAATATATATTTTAACTGAGCCTTGAATGAATATTGGTAATTGGCATGGTAATTGGTTGAAATCATTCAACCCTCTGAATTGCTTTATTCTTGTCCTGGAAACGTGGAATTGATTGGGGTACTTGTGTTGTAGTCATGAATTTGAATACTGTATGTAATGAAGGAATCAAAATATTTTGGTAATAAATTTCTGGTTATTTCATAAATAAATATCATACTTGAGTAACACAGTCTATCTGCCACATCATAGCACTTGAGGGCACTCAGCCCGCATTGAATGGGAGTGTATCTATTACATTTTGAGATGATTCTTAAACCTCGATTTTGCAGTTTCTGTAACTTCTGTATATTGTTTTTATCTAAAAGATAAAGCAGAGTGGAAAAATAATCAAAATGGGGCTGTACAATGGTTCTGTATATTATTATTTTTGAAAACATGGAAACTTCCGATGAAATCCTGGAGAAAAAAAATAGTGTTTTTGATATGTAGTCACAGTACGCATTAAGTGTTAGTGATTCATCCAACACGAAGCTTAAATACTTGAATTCTGACACCCATTCAATTTTGTCTTCCACCACTTCGAGTTGAAGCTTTTCATAGTCAATTGATTTCAGTTTATGTTTCTTACTAATTATCATAGATTTGGTTTTATTCGTATTAATTTTTAGTTTATATATTTCAATTTTTTTCAACAATCGATTCATGCGCTCCACTGTTTCTACAACGGCATGTCCCTAGCGTGCAAGTAACATGTCATCTGCAGATAAATTCAAAAAATCATAACCTTGTGTATAATTTACATCATTCAGGTAAATTAACAGCAGTGGTCCCAGGACACTCACTTGAGGTACGCCTATATTGTTTGAAATTTAATTTGAAAAACATTTTCCCATTCTACTTATTTGTGACCCGCCATTGAGATAATTTTTGAACCAACTCAAGGCTATTCCATCGATTCCATAATATCTCAGTTTACGAAGTAATATTTGCCTATAGATAGTTTCAAATGCCCTCTTGAAATCAAGGAACACAGCTACTATAAATTTATCGCTATCGATTTCATTCTTCCATTTTGAAACTGTTAATTGATGGGCAGTTTCACGAGTGGTGTTCTCTAAATCCGGATTGTATTGTGTATGCGAAGTATGATCGATCACCCTATATATTCGCCAAAATTTGAAAATGTTTAGGGTTTGTTAATGGATGCAACGGAATTTTCCTTGAAAATGATGATACTGTTCATTTCAATTAAATATTCAAAGTTATGATGGTTTATATAAACTGTGGTAAATAATACGAAAATCTCTTGAGAGAAAAAGAAACGCAAATGATCATTATAATTTCCATACCCTTGTTACTTACAAACAGGTACCTTCATATTACCACTGTTTGCTAATTTTGCAAAAACATTTTTGAATACTCCAAAAGGATTGACAAAAGCTTTTTGGGTTTCTAGTTCTCCATCTTTATACAAAAAAAATGTGGTAAACTTCTGAAGACAGAATTGAAGATGTGTAGATCATGCATAGAAGTTTGTTTCAGATAAAAACTAGAAGAACTCCTTTTCGAAACAACTACTTTCACATGAACACTGAATAACACGAATATCACTTTTTTCATTCAGTATTCCCCTTTCAATAAATACAAAGTTCCTTTGGCTGGGATTGAATCAACTAACGGTAAGAATGTTTCACATACTGTCATGAGCAGATTGTTCTCTTCCAGTGTGATAAAGTCGCAATGTTGTGCGAGCAATGTTTGTGTTTTCATCATCGAGATCATTTAGGTGCTGAAAAGGCGTTGAAAACAAGTGTGTGGGTTAGGCTACCTATCGAGCGCGTCCCCAGGTGGCGGATAGGGGAACGGCCAGGGGACTAGATACCCTGTCCGGGAAGCCAATGTGGTCTTACGGACGGGGTCACCAGACTCCTGGTCAGTGGCAGAAGTAAGTAAGGTGAGGGGAACTAAAACCCCCCAAGAGCCTTTGCAAAACATACCACCATGGACCAGCCTACCCAAGCTACGAACCCCTTGGGGTTCGTAGCTTGGTGTAACCCACGAACGACCCCTTGGGGAACTGGGTGAAACCTCATTGTAATCAGCCTATGCCTGGTAATGCGGGGATCTGCCAGAGGTGACCAACTCTTCCCTTGCTACTCGTGGGAACACACATGAATGAAACAACACAAAAACAGGAACAACAAAAACAAAAACCAATCCCGAGGCTGGACAGAAGTGTTCAACTTAATGTAAGGCGGTGGCTGGGGATGAACAGAAATGTCCACCCCAATCTACCGCTTGGAATGAGGCTGGACATAGCAGATCACCTTCAACAGCAAGGGCATTTCCTGCGGCGGGCACCAAGAGCTCCGCCTTGAACAAAGGCAAGGAACCGGCTGCCCCTGCAGGAAAGCTCCCTCACTTGTGCATCTCCACGGAGGGAACCCCAAGAAGGTTGAAGAAGCTGCGCAACGACAGTAATATCGCTGCACCTTCCAAAACCTTCGCGGAGGCCACTGTGAGACACCTCAAGGTTGCCAAAGAGAGTGTGTGTTCGGCGAGTCTTGGCCCACACCTGCCTATATAAAGGAGATGTCTCCTAGTGACCTGTTCACCTTCCTGGAAAGGACAGGATGGGCGATGACCTAGGAGGACAACTCCTCGGGAGGATGTACAATGGGTCACATGTGGCCTAAGTGCTGTAAGCTTATACACTCACCCTCCCTACTTTACAGATACCAGAGGAGAACGAGTGTTTTCATCCCAGAACTTCGACGAAGAAACACCTTAAGGATGATTGAGTTCCATGTAAATGAATTTTTTTCATGTAATTCAATGTTCATGTGGACATGTGGAAGTGTTTTTTTCGAAAAAAATGCACGCCAAGTTCGATCAAATGTCAAAGTTTTACTCATTATTTTTTTCGATTACCGTGGTGTAGTGCGTCAGGAATCCTTCCCACATGGTCGTACGGTCAATAAGGAGTATTATCGTGAAGTTATGCGCCGCTTGCGAGAAACAATACGAAGAAAACATCCGGTGGAAAAACAATTCAAGACTTCTGTATCACTATAATGCACCTGCTCACTCGTCATTGCTTGTTCGTAATTTTTTGGCCAAAACAACACCGAAATAATAAAAACATCCTTGAAATTTGGAAGCGCGGCGCCTAGGTATGTTGATAAGTTAATTCTCAACTTGACCATATATATGTCATAATGCCTGCTTAATAAACTATATAGGTGATTTAGTTTGAATCAACTTAAACAAAAAAAAAATTTATCAGATATTGGACTCTCTACCTCACATTCAGCTCCTTCATTTTTAACAAAAACGGTGTGAAATGTTCACCATATGGTATACAGCATACTCATGCAAGCATTTTGTATACGTTGTAACTTCTGCTTGATATATTGCGGCAAAAAATTGTAATACATCGAACAACAATACTCGATATGGTTTTATGGTGGAGTTTTAACTAATCTGAGTTTCATTTCTTCTGATAACTGATACTTGAATTTATATAGCGATTTGAGTTTGAAGAATGATACTTTGAAAATGTTTGTCACATGTTCATGGAAAGACAAAGAGCTATCTATGGTTACGCCAAGATTTTTAGCACTGTCTACCCAGTCAATGTCTGCGTTATCGAGAGTGAGCCTAAAGTTACACTGAGTTTCTACTATTTGTCTTTGAGACCCTATGCATAAGGCCAAAGTTTTATTTGGATTGATTTTCAGTCCATGATTCTCCGAGTAAAGGAATATTTTGTGCAAATCTGTGTTTATATTGGCCACGCAACTTTCTGTATCGGTGTTATGAGAAGACAAATATAACTGTATATCATTTCCGTATAGATGTACTTGTCAATGTGATAAGAAAGTGGGGTAATCAAAAATAAACACTAAAAACATCAAGGGTCCTAAAATACTTCTCTGCGGTACACCTGAGATTGTTTCTTTTAGGGATGATCAAAAGTATCAACCAATTTAACCCTCTGTGATCAGCCTGTGAGATAGCTGGTCATCTATTGAGGAGAAATGTCATCGAATCCTATGAACTTGAGCTTGCTGATGAGTAAAACGAAATCAACTAAATCGAAAGCTTCACTTTTATCAAGCAGTACTAAAATGGTGACTTTTCGTTGATCTCTGAATCACGCAAGATCGTCGATACTTTCAAGAGGGCAGTCTGTGTTCCGTGTTTTTTGCGGAACCAAGACTGCTCTTACTTGACGGGCAACATTTTTCTCGAATATTCTAGAGAATGAGGGCAGAATGCTGATAAGGCGTAGGTCACTGAACGTGGTAAAACATTCTTTTTCGGAATTGCAGTTATATTAGCAACCTTCCAAACATCTGGAAAAATACCCTGTCTGAAGGACTCGTTGAAAATATGTTTATCTTCATCAATAAAGTGTGGTATCACTAAAGAAATCATCTTGATATTTATATTGTCAATACCTAAAGCATTAGATTTTATTTCTTTGATAGCAGTCAAAATATCATCATCACATATATCGGTGAGGGAAAAGGTCATAGGAGCGTTCAATTTATTATTATTGTAGAATGAAAGAGTGTTATTATTTACTATTGAATGTCAAGCCACGTTCAAAAAATAGTCATTGATTTCTTCAGGTCTACGTAGTTCAATTGGCAGGCTAATCATGCCTCAGCTACCGTATTCAACAGAAATGACAATTGGCAGGCTAATCATGCCTCAGCTACCGTATTCAACAGAAATGACCCCCTGTGACTTTTTTCTGTTTCCAAGATTTAAGAGATCTATAGAAGGATGGCGTTTTGCGACGATTGGGGAGATAAAACCGAATCGCTGAGACAACTAAAGGACATACCAAAAAGTGCATATTAAAACTGCTTCGAGGATTGGAAAAAATGCTGGCACAAGTGTATTTTTATCTGAGGTGGACTACTTTGAAGAAGACAAAATAGAAATTGATGAATAAATGAATAATTTTTGAGAAAAATTTAAATTCACCTTATTTTTAACACGTGTTACGTGTTCATGTGTGTATATGTTCTAGCTTTTGGAAAATTTTACATTTATATGACGTATGAATAAACGCTTCTGTGTAGTATCGTGAGTATGTATACTGCAACCGAAATGTTTTCCAGTAACTAAATGGTATACTCTTTGGTATACTCTTATGGGGTACCAGTCAATCTGATACAATCCCATTTGAAAAACCGCCTTCAAGCGGTAAGTATTGGAAATTCCTTATCTGATTTCAAACACAATGAAGATGGAGTTCCTCAAGGGTCAATATTAGGACCGTTATTATTTGTAGTATACACTAACGACTTGAGTAACTATATGGTTCCGGTGAAAACTTATTCGTTTGCAGATGAAACGACCTTCATATATTCTGACAAACTGAAATCAGATCTGAATAGGAATGAATCAAAAGTAGTTGTGTAATGTCAGATTCGTTTTCAGTGAGTAGGACATTACATTACATTGGGATATGTTGAGAGATAGATTATTCTTCTGACACCATGAAGAAACACGATTTAAATTCAGGGCGAGACGTTCGCAATAATAAGAACAGAACAGAAGGAAATTGACATCATCCTCAGCTCCGATATAATTGATGAACATATCGAACAGTAGGGGTCCTAGGTTTGACCCTTGTGGTACACCAAATGTACCAAAATACTGCTTACGGTTGTAGAAATACGATTTGAAGAGAGTTATTAAGTCATTGGATAACCCAAAAATCGAAAGCTTGTTGAAATGGATACTATGGTTAAGTCTGTCGAACGCTTTAGAAAAATCAGTGTAGATGACATCAGTCTGAGACTGACAATCAACACCCTCCGCAATACATTGAGTGACTGTTATAAGATTGGTGGTGGTTAAACGTCCTTTCATGAAACCGTGTTGATTGGAGCTAATAATGTTGCTAACATGACAGTAGATTGTCTTCCCAACACCTCAAACACTTTACAAAAGTTCCATATGATTGAAATTGGTCTGTAATTTTTTATCTCACTTTTATCTTCTTTTTTGAAAATTGGTCACAATTTCAACATTTTCCATATTAATGGTACAGTTGATGTTTTCAGGCATATATTGATCAGAGTTGTTAGTGGTTCAACCAGAGCTGAGGCACAATCTTTTATGATGAATTCTGGAATATGATCAGTTCCCGCATAGTCTAGAAATACAAACAAGAGTACGAGTTGAAATATATGAATATAATAGATCGCATAAAAATATACATATACTAAGCAAGTAAATATCAGTTCGTAAGTGTATTAGCAGAGAAAGGTATCATTAAAATACACCTGAACTGAGTAATAGACCCTATGAACCCCACAAATGGTGTTTCTTTATTGAATTCAACAAAAAATAAAAAATCATTTTGTATAATATTAGACAATGGACGTTCGAACTAATAAAATCCCTCAACACTTTGATGCATCTGAAATGATCAAGAAGGTTTCTCATGGGAATCAAGGTGTCCTGTGATACTTCCCACTCGACTAGTTGGTTTTAAACAGCCACTAACATCCATGGTGGTCAGCAACCTCGCCTTGCCTGGAAATGTAATAAGCAAATTGTATTTCAACAGCTGTTCACAGCACAGTGAGCTTGAAAAGCCTACTGACCGCTTGCATGCGTTTAGCTTTCATCTTGTGTACACGTGTTTCAATCTTCCGAACAGCAAAACCGAAATTCCAGCCTTTACTCTCAACAGCTTTGTACACAGTGGTATTGAATTTTCAGATGTCAGCCTCTCATTAATAATATTTTCCGTTATTATTGTAGAGTCTCTTAAAACCAAACGCTTACATAGTCACCCAAGGCCCAACGGAAGAAACTGTTACGGACTTCTGGAGGATGGTTTGGCAGGAGAATGCGAGCTGTATAGTGATGTTGACGAAAACGTTCGATTTCATTAGGGTAAGAGACGAAACGTAGCAGTCGATAAATCACCGTAATATATCACTGACATTCAGGTTATGTGCGTGCAGTATTGGCCCGCATCCAAAGAAATTGAGGAGACCTACGGAGGTATTCACATTCAAATCGTGATGGAGGAGGAATTGGCCAATTTCCACATCAGGACATTTCGGTTATATAAGAAGGACGACAACGTGAGCTGTTCCTGACACAGAGTGTTATTTCTATTGACGCCAGTTGTTTTCAGGGTGTCACCGAAGAGAGGACTATTCTCCAATTTCACTACACTCAGTGGCACAGTCATTCGTGCCCTTTTGCCAACGCTCTGTTGGAATTCAGGAGAAGGGTGAGAGCTGTTGTAGGACACGTCATAAAATCTAATGAAGCTGGACCGATGGTAGTGCACTGCAAGTAAGTTTCATTAGACTTCTTGAAGTAATATATTCCTCTTGCTCACTATTGTCACTTGTCCAAACTAATCCGCGTTCTGTAAACGCGTCACCATTTTTAGTACTTGTTGGTGGAAAAACAAATGTGTTATAGTTCAAGTAAACGATATAGTGCAACCTATCTTCCAACAGTTCCCCTTCAATAATATAGTTAGGGAGCTAATTAATTTTGTTATTTAATAATCATTTCTGATTATATAAGAATCACCATAACTATACAAAAAATTATATAGTGAATATTTTGTTTATATAGATAAGTGGGAAAGTAGGGATTCAAATAACAGAGTGATATTTGAAAATACTTCTGAATACTACTTACTCACATAAATACAGTGTGTCAATTTTAAAACTTACAATGGGCTATATCTCACGAACGAAAGCTGGTATCGAAAAATGCTTGAAACCGTTTCTAGGATAGTAAGGGGGAACTAAAGTGACATGAAAGAGAACTCACCCCCATCAACCCCCTATGCAACACCCACCAAAACACAAAAAGTTTAATTTGCAAACCCCTTCTTGTCATACATCATTGAAAAGACTATAAAAAGTGCTATCCAATGGTATCAATAATAATTGTACAGGGTGAAGCAATAATTGTGAAACTTAAATGGAATATTTAATGATGTTTTTGTTGAACTACAAATTTATTAAAAATGTCAATTAATTGTATGTTCAAAGTGGGTTCCGTTGTTTTGTGAACAATAATACAGCCTATTCTCTTTTTTTGTATAAAGTTTGAGAAGTAGAAAGCCAAAACCTTTCTTCCTCCAAAACTAATATCATTTCCATTGAAAGGAGGTACTGAATTTTTCATACATTCATTTCAATAGGAAGTGAAATGCCCATTGAGCGGAAAACAAATAACAATATTTTTAATACACTATTGATATCTAGTGAAGATCCACAAAACTATCATGGAAATTTTCAAAATTCTGCAGAAATCTTTTATAAAGAAAATAGAAAGCATTTTTCCTTATGGTGATATTCCAAGAATATACTCGTACCTATCTATAAAGCATGAGACCCAAGTGATTAAAATAACTAAAGGCCAATTGCTTCCATCAATAATTACGGTAAAATTTTAGAAATGTCACATTTTCTGAGAGAAATAATTTTATTGCAGGCAGTCAATTTAGATTTTTGAAAAATCCAACACTGAGAAGGCAAAAAATTATTTTAATTATTTTTCTAAAAAGACCAACATAAAATGATTCAGGAAGAAGAACTCAATCGTCGAATATCAATAATCGAAAGCTTCGACATCGACTGCCAACGAAATTCGTCTTCTATATTTCACTGCAGTTTTGCTGTGGTTCAGGCTAACACCATTGATGAATCCTATGGCTGGTCACTGTATGGTGTTAAATCATAAACGCGTGGTATTTGGGCTCTGATATTCAGCTGGTTGCCTTGCACTATAAGTGACTTTTGGAAAATTTATACAGGCCATTTTTATAGCTAGTCCCACTATTGCTATTCGTCGGAGCATAACCTGTCATTGGCATCACTTTAGGCTTCGCCAAACAGAGAATGAACACCTGGATGGCAAGAAGATTTATGGACTTCTGGCAGAATATACCAGATTTGGCTCACTCCAAGGCGTTTATTCACCCTTCGAAGCTTGATACCAAACAATTGTTGGACTACAGTAGGGATGAACTACGACCTCTAACAGGCCTTCTTACAGGTCACTGTCATTTGCAGAGACTCAGACTGTCGGACAGTGTGTGTAGCCTCTATTTGGAAAATGATGAAGCAGCAGAGCAGATACTTCATTCCTGCCCCGCTGGAGACCGAATCAGGTTTTCAGAGTTCGGCCCATCTAACCTTAAGATCACTCATCATACAAACTAGTCAGCTTCATTAAGAAGCTGGGTTTATGTGGTCCAGTGTTGAAATATTCGCCAAAAACTAAAATTGTGGAATTTCGTGTTTTGGCTCTACAGCCTCAATTTCGAATGATGTAAAAATGGCAGAAAAACTTTCAATACTGCTTTATATTTGTTATAATCTGATATAAATCAATTTTCAATTAGACATTTTGTTCATTAGATTTCATCATCAACCTTATTTTTTCAAATACGGAACTTTAGTTTTTTTCCATTGCTGAATTTGAATTACAGTGGCTACAAAAATCAATGGAGAAAACTAGAAGTCCCATTTAAAAAAACAAAGTTCAAGAGCGACCACTGATATTTTCAAGCTGAAAAGAGATTATTCTAGTTCTCGTGTTAGGAATCACACGTTAAAAGGTAAGACCTCGTTAGTCATTAGCTTGCACAAGTTTCTCAACTTCTGAGAGTTGTCGTTCGAATGTGGGCGACAGCTGATTAACGGAAAAACAGACAGAAAAGACAGTCCAAAGTAGAAAACTTTTCTTCAATTCCACCAACCTTCTAGGTCTCGCCGTTTTCGAGATAGTTGTAGTGGGATCAGAAAAAAACGGTTTGTATAAATAAAATTAGTGAAATGATCGGTCCTATCGGTATCATTGAGGCCTTTCTTTTTGTTTACAAAAATATGGTCAATTATTGACTTTGGTTTGGGTATTGATGTGTTATACATTCATTATAGTTCATCACATTTAAATAATCATGAGTTTATTTCGAATCGTTATTCAAAAGATTAATATTTATTTCACTTATGAATACCTCCAAACGATTTATCTAGGTTTGAATAATATTGTTGTAGATTCCCACATTTTTTATATCAAGATGGATTAGTAGAAATCCAAAAACTCTCTTTCCCAAAAGACAATTCTATTTGCACCCATTTTTTCTACAAGTTTTGATGGAACACTTGATAATGAAAATTGACGATAGTTATCAATATCTAGGGAACCTTTTTTATATATTGGTATAACATTTGCAGTTCTCCAGACTTCATGAAAAACTCCCTCACAGATTGATTTATTTAAAAGCTTCACTAGAATGCCCGATAATGTTGGAAGACATAGTTCAGAGCTCTCACTATTATATCATTGAATCCACTCGATGATTAATTTTTCAGATTGTTCATCGTTATTGGTATTTCAGATTCTAACACTTCTTTGGAGAATATTGACTTTTCATTGAAATCAGAGCCGCTATGTGGTAGCGGCATATTCTGACCTTTGTAACTTGACCGATTTTCAGAGGCTACCTTCACAAATTTGGTAGCAATTTCATTTACAACACCATTTATTTCAAGGTGGACATCCTTTTTTTGTTTTTTTTTTTGCCCTGTGTAATCATTAATGATGTTTCATGTGGTTTTTTTGGCAGTTTTCAGATATTTCTATTTTGTTGCCATAACAGTGAGATTTTGACTTCCTCAATTTCTTTGTATATTACCTCTTTTCTTTTTTGTAAGTCTCCTCACTTACATTTCCTTTCAGTATTTTTTTATACAGCCCTCTCAACTCTTTACTTCCATTCTTCAGTTCTTTTATCACCCATCTTTTTTTTTACTTGGTTTGCTGTTATTATGTATGTTATTTATATTCACTCTGGGACATCCCACATCGAGACACCATGAAAATGCATTCATATAAGAATCACATGCATCATTTGTTCTGAATCCTTCTAAATAAGTCCAGTCGATATTGCTCAGTCATGTTCTGAGTTCCTGCAAATTCTCATCGGCAATTTTTCTTTTCGAGCTGGTGGTTGTAATTTGCGATTCATTCGATGATAAGTGAGGTAGATTAAAAGAAAGAATATGGGCAAGATGTTTAGCTAGTGAAGTATCATGAAGATATGCTTCATCTTCTGGAATGTTAGTGATAAGACAGTCAATTGCTGAATTACTTACCTATATGACCATGTTTATTTTTTATGATGTGAATAGAATCGTCTGTGGTTTTTCTAAGGCATTGCGATTCTAGGCAATCATTCAAAATTTTTGTTTTCTTATCAGTGATATCAAGACTATTTATATTTAGATCTCCACATTCAATCTAATATGTGGATTGTTTTTGAAGATAATCACAAGTCTGTTTAGTTTTTCAAGATATATATTGAAATCACCCAATGGTGGTCTATAAATGCAACATATGGCTGTTTTAATATTTAAATTGGCAACTATAGTAATAGCACTCATTTCTATATGCGACTATACTATAAGGAACTTGTCGAGGAAAAAACGAGGCTACTTTTATATCAAGGAGTGATATTTCCTCTATATTTAAATGTTGAGTCCAGTGTTCAGAAATGCAGAGGATATCTAAGTTCAGGTCATCAATAAGAAATTCAATCTCAGATATTTCATTTTTAATACTCTGGGCATTTACGTGCGCTATCCTGAGGAAAGTAAACCCTGCTTTCACGGGTTTGTTTAAGGACTTAGCTTTGGAGCATCCTGGGACAATCGGCGATATATTAATAAAAAATTATTGTTGTCACCTACATTTGGCATCACTGTTGTTGAAAAAGTAAATTGATGACCTTTAGAATGTCCTTATCCCTCATGCCCTTCTACTAATTAAGATATCAATAACCAATGAATATCACCTTTGCGGCGGACTTTTTTTGGAACTTTTTTTCTGCGATAAGTAAAATCTCAATTCCACATTACCATAATCACCAGGTAGCAATAAATATAAAGCAATTTTTAGTTCGACCCTGTCACTAATTTTGAGATAATTTCAATAATTGTAGGTACTGTATTTTTCAATTAGACGAATGTTCAAAATAATGTTTCAAAATTTGTGACTCGCTCATTTTCCTATCATGCAATGGTGTAAATTGATAATATATCAGTGACTTTAATTTATGATTTCACAATTGATTGACATAACCAGTTTCTTCAGAAACGCACTCGTTTAATTTGCAATCATCATCTTGTTTTTTATTGAGTTATTGTGAATCGGCAAAGATATTCAGATTTTGTCTTAGTCGTTGGACTCATGTTGTACTCATTCAGTTAGGGACCTTTTGTATTAATCCCAGATACCTGATCTTATTGCCCTTTTGAAAGTTTTTCTAGTTTGTTACCTCATCCGTGGCAAATCTTCATTCCACCAGGAAAACTTCCTATTTGATTTCTGGTTGACAGTGAAACAATTGAGATTATAACTGCCAGTAACCGGTCTGCTACTAACTCTGAGTCTGTAGAATCTCTTATTACAAAACATATCCGGTTCAAACAAGTTTCCAGGTCTGCCTTCAAGAATTCCCAGTTTGTTTTCCAGGGGTTTTGATAAGATTAAATCCAAGTATGAAACCCTCCGATTTCAAAGCTTATATGCCGATGATTTGAACAACTTTCCTCATCAAACACATTCCATTTCTCAACATAGTTACTTATAAAAGTCTAGTACTTTCCTACGCATCGTGTGAACGAAGATTGGTATTTGCCTTGATAAACTGTGTCTGTGCTGGTGTCAGTGCTCCCCCAGGTCAGGTGGTGTGCATTGGCATTACAGCTGAGTTGTGATCTGTCTGCTCGGCAGGCTCTCACTAGGGTGTCCAATTTTCTGGTTGGTGACGGTTCCTGACTATCGTATTGAAGGTACGCTGTACGCTAATCCAATCTCGATTTCCTCACGTACTTCCTCACCAAGCCATCTTTGTTTTCACCGCCATCAAGTCTCTTGTACAAAATGCTGCTGATCTCGCCCATTCCCATGATATTTCTCCTGTAGACGCAGAGTTCTTATATGAGAGCAATATCAAACTTACGCACAACCTTTGTAAGGACCACCGAAGTCGCTCTACTGTGTTGTAAGTTAGCTTGTACCACTCTCATTGCGACTCAGAGGGGTCTCTTAAAGAGTCCTCCTACTTGCGTTCGTGGCTGTGCTCCATTAAGTCCCCACATCCATGGATGTGGGAGGTCGCCTGGTATCACAGAGGCTCCATTGGTGATACCTGATGAGGTCCAAGTACCCCATTCTAACCTTTTTCAACAGGCAAGGGTTACCGATGACTTATTTTAGCCCCCGGTACCATTAGGGTACCGGGCAAACTCCAAGCAAGTTTCACCACCACGACAAGGTGAGGACACCGTCCACGGGGAATGAAGGTATTAATTGTATTCTCATAATATATGATACTACAATTGACAAAAACTCTAATGAACTCAGATGAAAATATTTCGTGACATCAATTTCAAAAAAAAATTCAATTTCAAAAAATAATTCTCTAAAAAGTCCTGAAAAGTTGACAAAAAGATAGCTACTCAAAACCAATCAAATTGATACAACCTGCAGCACCTGTGAACCTTTTCAAAAATTATATTTTACACAATAAACGTTCTTGTGATGCACTGTCTGTAACCTTTGATGTAGTAATGAATATTAC